TTTCAACAAGGCGAGGCTCTGCAGGAAGTGGCAGAAGAGCGGTTCTGTCGGAGTGGCAGAACAGGAGCGCTTTTTCTGCAGATGGCTTCTACAGAATTCTGTGCTTTTGTAGAAGCGGACTTGGCAGAAACGAGAGTGTACAAGACCCTCTGCCGATTTGGCACCAGGGACCATTTGCAGAAGGGTTGTCCTCTGCAGAAGTATCGCGCAGAAGACATTTCTGTGGGCGACCCTTTCGGCAGAAGCGACTTTGCAGAAATGCGTTCCAACAGGGCTTCGGGCAGAGTGGCGCAAGGACCTGCTCGCACAGAATTGTGGTATGCTGAAGTTCGGCAGAAATGCAATTCGGCTATCTCTTCTGTTGACAACCCCCTCGGCAGAAATGAAATTCGGCAGAAGCGCGGCAGAGGGTCATCTCGGACTTCGCTTCTGCGAGCGACCCCTCGACAGAAAAACGGGGACTTCGCTCTTCTGTGGAAGGCTGCATTCCGAAATCGCGAGGAATTCGCGATTTCGTAAAGTTAACCACAGAACCGATCTGGACTGAAAATGGCAAAATCTACCTGCGACATGAAGAAATTGAACACGTGACGCACATTTCGTAACTGCGGAAATGTTCGTAACATCTGACAGTTTCATATCTGAAACTGTTCAAATAGCTACTTGTGAGTGGGTAAAAATTACCAACTAAGCATGTGCTGTAATTTTCATCTGCCATTGCTGACTTGGCTAAGCGCAGCTTAGAGTAGTTATGTAAACGTTCTTGTGCGAACGTTCTTGCCGTGTTTAATGAGGTTCAATTGGGTAGTACTAGTGTTTGCCTTGTGTACCATACTTTGTAATCTTGATTCTAGTGAATTTGTATGCCTAAGCTTTCTCAAAAGCTACTTAGTGGAAACACACAATTCTGAAGGTAACTGTCTCCTTAGAGAACGACACAGCGAGAGAGCTCTATCTGTGTCAGGCACTTCCGCGGAAGCTCTCGTTATAGCAAAAGACTCAGCAGCCGCCTGGCCCGCGTAGTACACTTGGCCTTAGGTGCAAACACAGCTGATATCTTTACGAAGGTGCTTGTATCTAAAGATCATCAATGGCACTGTGTCCATTTGTAGTGGTTGGTTTACTGAAGGCTTGGCCCGGAGCCAAGGGCTTGGTGTGCACGAAACGTTTGAGCGGTTTGGGATGTGACATGGCTTGGAGAGCTGACGCTTGCGACAAATAACGATCGGAACTCCCCAAAACATTCAGGTTTAAGTCTGATTGAGTACACTTCTTCTCGGGAGTTGCGGAGGTGGAAAGTGCCCATGTTGGTTAGGAACAGGCATAATCAACGGATTCGGTTGAGTACGAGTATTGGAATATTGCAGAACGTGAAAAAAAAAAAAAAAAACTAAAGCTAAAACTAAAACTAATTAAAACAAGGCTCGACGCACAAGCGTCGGAGGGGTTGCGTGGACTGTAGATTTCTAATTTGTGGAATCGTAACAATAATACAATTTGTATGACATTTAAATTTACATTTCATTTTAAAGTTAATAATTGTGTTGTTGTGATGAATGCTATTATTTGGTTGGAAATTAACACATATCCCAACCATATTCTAAATAATAATATTTATGATACTACAAAGAGTGAAGATAGTTTATCCTTTATGGCGTAGATGGGGGAAAATGTACAAATGTGATTTATATCATATTACAATAACCGCGTTGAGCACAATACAGGCTTTTCATCTTTGTCTAGGTCACATCAAGGGTTTGTTCATTTAAATGTATACTTATAGTGATATAATATTTATATTGTTTTAATCGAAGCACGTGCGAAAGCCGAAATTATGCAAGAAACCTGCTAGTTTTTGTTCAATTGAATCTTTGACGAAACATTTCGAAGCCTTATCATTATGGGCTGAGGTACCTCAAGTATCGCATGTGGCGTCACACGCGTGTACCCTTGTTGCCCTAGTCAATCACTCCATGTTTTTGGGCGGCTGGGACTGGAAGCGTCCCCGACACTTCGGGCGCCTCGCCAGGGGAAGAATGGGACAGTAACTGTGTTGGAATGTTACTGCTTTGGCATACACGGATTGGGACGGGGGGCTGAATTTGTACTTCTGAAAATACCCGGGGGCTAAATTTGTACTTTCTGAATTTGTAGTTTCCCAAATACCCGGCGGACGAAATATGACATGCTGTCATGGCTGGCAAGTTCCACTGTTGCCGTTGTCTTCTCTGTGAACAGTGTGGGCCATGTTCTAGAAACGAGGGTGCGGTTGCCCGTGCTAGAAACAGAAGTGATGCGGGAAGCTTTTGTGAGTGAACCGAGACGTGACTAACTCATGCAACAAGGGTACCAGTTTCAAGTTGAAACCGGCAACTACCTGAGAAACCTGACTACAATACCTTATGTTCTGTACAAACAATAAACGCGCAACGTGATGGGGTTTACGTTTTTTGCTTCGTCGTTCCGTGCGTTTCTTACTTCCTCCTCCCAATGTGTTTCTTGTTTCCTGCTCCCGGTGCGTTTCTTGTTCAGACATTCATTCATCGCAGCTAGCTTTTCAGTAACCTCACAGCTTCCCTCACATTCCTTCCTTCTAGCTTTCCAGACTTTCAAAACAATTTCAAGTGTCAATCAGCTCATTTACGTGGTAAGCGTACAGTAGAGCCGCTGGGAGCGTTTGCCTTGGAGCTGGCGCTAGCGCTGGCTCTTGCGCTAAGCATTTGGCACTGGCGATTTGGCGCCGGGCGCTGGCACTGACGCTGGCGTTTTGCCGCTGGCGCTAGCGCTGACGTTGGCGTTTTGGCGCTGGCGCTGGCGCTGGCACTAGCGCTGGCGATTTGGCGCCGGGCGCTATCGCTGGCGTTTTGGCGTTGGCGCTGGTACGCGCTGGCGTTTTGGCGCTGGCACTGGCGCTGGCGATCTGGCGCTGGGCACTGGCGCTGGCACTGGCGTTTCGCCGGGGGCGCTGGCGCTGGCACTGGCGCTGGCATTTTTGCTCTGCCGATTCGGCGCTGACGCTGGCGGTGGCGTTTTGGCGCTGGCGATTCGGCGTTGGCGATGGTGCTGGCATTGGCGCTGCTGCTGGCGCTAGCGCTGATGCTGGCGCTGGCGCTGGTACTGGCGCTGGTGCTGGCATGTTGGCGTTGGTGTTCTGGTGCTGGCGCTGGTGTTTTGGCGTTGGCGTTGGCGCTGGCGCTGGCGTTTTGACGCTGGCGTTGGCGCAGGCGTTTTGGCGTTTTGCCTGGCGCTGGCGCTGGCGTTTTAACGATGGCGCTGGCGCTGGCATTTTGGTGCTGGTACTAGTGCTAGTGCTGGCGTTTTGACGCTGGCGTTTTGACGCTGGCGTTTTGGCGCTGGCATTGGCGATGGCGTTTTGACGCTGGCGCTCGCGCCTCCCGTCCTCCCTTTGTTCCTCCCTCCATTCCTCCCTCCGCTTCGCGCCTCCCTTCCTCCCTTCGTTCTTCCCTCCGTTCCGCGCTTCTCTTCCTCCCTTCGTTCCTCCCTCTGTTCCGCGCCTCCCCTCCTCCTCCATGCCGTGCTTGCCTCCCTCCCTCTATTTTGCGCCTCCTTTCCCATTTCCGTTCCACGCCTCCCTCGCTCCCTCCGAACCGCACTTCTCTTCCCCCCTCCGCTCCGCACCATCTTCCCTACCTCTGAACCGCGCCTCCGTTTCCCCCTCCGTTCCGCGTATCCCGTCCTCCATCCGTTCCGTGCCTCCCTTCCTTCCACTGTGCATCCCTCCGTTCTGCGCCTCCCTCCCTCCCTTCGTTCCGCGCCCCCCTTTCTCTCTGCATTCCGCGCCTTTCTTCATCCCTCGCTACTGGCAGTAGTAGAGCGCACATACCGCTTGTCCGAGATGAAATCTGCCAGTGACCGAGGGAATCGGTTCACTTGAGTCACACTTTTTTCCTTGCCTATATTCACCACCGATCATGGCAAGTGACGATGCTCGCTAGAGCTGAGGGCACTTCCCATTGGCGGCTCGATTTCACACTTTTCACCAGTCTCAAGTCTTTCTCGTTTCCTATATTCATCTACCCCTCATGGCATGTGACGGTACTCCCAGCAGTAGAGGAAACATTCTGCCTGTCCGATATCAAATGTGAATGTGACTTGAGGCAAGCCCTGACTCACCTCGACTCCGTTCCTGCAGACGAGATTCAGGTGCGCTCTTTTTATTTGTAGGTGTGTTCCAATCAGCTTCACGTGTGCCGTTACTACTGTGACACTACCATGTTTAACCTCCTTGCCTTCACATGTGCTGTTATTACAGTGACACTACTCTGTTTAACCTCCTTGCCTTCACATGTACCGTTACTACAGTGACACTACCCTGTTTAACCTCCTTGCCTTCACATGTGCCGTTACTACTGTGACACTACTCTGTTTAACCTCCTTGCCTTCACATGTGCAGTTACTATAGTGACACTACTATGTTTAACCTCCTTGCCTTCACATGTGCCGTTACTACTGTGACACTACCCTGTTTAACCTCCTTGCCTTCACATGTGCCGTTACTACTGGGACACTTCTCTATTTAACCTCCTTGCCTTCACATGTGCCGTTACTACAATGACACTACTCTGTTTAACCTGCTTGCCTTCACATGTGCCGTTACTACTGTGACATTACCGTGTTTAACCTCCTTGCCTTCACATGTGCCGTGACTACTGTGACACTACTCTGTTTAACCTCCTTGCCTTCACATGTGCCATTACTACTATGACACTACTCCGTTTAACCTCCTTGCCTTCACATGTGCCGTGACTACTGTGACACTACTCTGTTTAACCTCCTTGCCTTCACATGTGCTGTTACTACGGTGACACTACTCTGTTTAACTTCCATGCCTTCACACATGCGCCGTTGCTACTATCACACTCCTCTGTTTAACCTCATTGCCTTAATATGAGTCGCGACTACTGTGACACTCCTCTGATTAATCTCCGTGCCTTCACACACGTGTCGTTACTACTTTAACACTACCCTGTTTAACCTCCATGCCCTCGCATGTGCTGTTACTTTGTCTACTCTCTCTCTCTCTCTCTCTCTCTCCCTCTCTCTCTCTCTCTCTCTCTCTCTCTCTCTCTCTCTCTCTCTCTCTCACTCTCTCTCTCTCTCCCTCTCTCTCTCCCCCTCTCTCTCTCTCTCCCTCTCTCTCTCTCTCTCTCTCTCTCTCTCTCTCTCTCTCTCTCTCTCTCTCTCTCTCTCTCTCTCTCTCTCTCTCTCTCTCTCATGCGGTCCTGCTCATTGAGGAAATCAGGGTACAAACTACACACCAGCAGAGTGAACCTAGGAACAAGATCATACACTAACACAAAACGGACCCCCAGCCCCGTCTCTCTAACCCATCTCTACGACGCTTCCAAGTCCAAAGTGTCGTATACATCCCCGAGATAAGGAGCCCAAGGGTCTGCCCTGGGTTGGGGAAAAGCCGCATCCAGAGGCACCCCACTGCGGGTGATGAGGGTGTCCGCCTGCAGCCGCTGTAGGAGCACCACCCACCGCTGCAGGAAAAGGGAAAGTAGCCTCCACTGCAGGGCTAAGAGAAAGCAGTGGCGGTGCACGCTGTTGAAAGCGTTGATGATGTCCAGCTAAAGAATTATGTGTGCGGAGAAGGCTTGAAGCAGTGCGCGGAGGACGTGAATTACACACTCGGCTCCCCCTGAAACCGCCACTCCGAACTGGTAAGGGAGGAAGAACGCGCGTACTGCCTTTGCCAGTTCTTGTAGCGCCACCTTTGCAACTACGTGCAGGAAGGCTATTAGCTTGCTAGGTAGTAGGAGGTGGCGTATGTCTGACGCCACTTTGCCTCCGATTACCAAGTTAACGGCGTAGAGCAGAAGGTTCAGGACCCGGGGGTTGGAGAGTGCCGGGTATCGCAGGTGTTCGAAGCACATGCCCGAGGGCCCACCCCCAATTACACGCTGGCATTTTCCTAACAGTTTTCAAAATGCTGTGTGGCTGAGTTCGAGTGTATTGTCGATCGTCTCTCGCGAGTGAGCCGGGGTGTCGCTCGCTGCCTGTGGGTGTTTTTCGCGCAAGCTCGCGAGCGTTGCAGCTATTGGCGGCGAAGTTGGTAGTGGTTGTAACGCCGTGAGTGCCTTGCGCGAATTCCCTTTCCGAACCAGCCCCTCAGGCCGAGCACGACGTCCCGCTGTGTCCTGTGGGTGGCGGGCAGATGGGGTAACAGCCGTGTTGTCCCTGCTGCCCACGTACAGCTCCTGTCACTTCCCTTCACGGAACACACTGTAGTTGGCGCTCGATAGACTCCCACCGCTTCTCCGAAGCTGGGCCAGGCCTAAGTGTTAGGCGGGGTAGGGATATCAGCACGATCCAACCCCCCGGGCATTCAGGGCGTGCTTTGATGCGCTGGAGGGGGACCAGTATGCAGTCCGTGAAAATCTCCAGATCTTTGGGGGGCAAATATCTTGCTAGGTAGGGCTGCCTTGAGTCAAGCAGCGGACCCAGATCCCAGACAATGGCTGCTTGCCATAAAACTTCGCCGGCAGCCAGGGATTCTGGCGATCGGGACTCTTGCTGCTGCGTTTGACTGGGGCTGCGATTGGCTGGCAGGGCGATCACGTCTTGTCCATTCACGTCTTGGCGGTCCCTGTTCCTCCCCCCCCTCCGATTTGCATTCTCCTCTGAAGCACCATCGGAAATTCCCTCCGCGCCTGGTTCCTCGGAGTCACCAGGTACATATGCGTCCCCTCCTTCCCACTCCGATTCATCGCCCGATGATAGCTCCGCGTGTAGTTCAGGTCTTCCGGGCCTGGCTCTCGAGTCCCCTGTGCGCGGGATTGGATATCTCCGCGTAGACCTCCTTGTCCCCACGTTCCCCCCCATTCTGCATCGTCGTCGTAGGTGCCTGCCCGCTCGTCCCCCTCGTCGCACAATAGTGTTCCCCTCGCCTACGGTCTTGAGCCCCCCGGAGCCTGACTGTACGTCCGCCTGCGCGTTGCTGGTCGTCGCGGCGTCCTCCGGGGTCGCTCGATCCTGCGGCCGTGGGGCAGCACCTTCGCATGACCTGCGCAAGTCGTTGCCGTTAGCGTCGCGGCTCCCAAGCTCTCCTCTGCTGGCCCTGGTCCCAGCTCCTTCCCTCTCGATGCCTCCTCCCCGGGCTGCTTGTCGTGATGGAGCTGGAGGTGGAGCTGCTACTGTCTGCTCAGCGGCGGGACGAGTACTGGGGGGAGCCTGCTGCGTCTGGCGTGGCATATCCAAATGGGCTGTTGGCGCGGAGCGGAGGGACGACGCTTCCACCTCGGTCCTTTGCTCCCCCGTCTCGCCGACAGCACTTGGGCAAGCCTCGTCTTCCTTTCGCATCTCCCCCCCCCCCCTTGCGTGGGCTTCGTTTGCGCCGGGGTGCACCAGTGGGGGTACAGCAGCTGCGGGTGATGCGGGGGGGGGGCGCGGTATGGCTCTGCGGCACGGCTGACGGCATTAGCCAGTTGCTTTGGGTGGTTGGCGCTAGTGCTGGAGCTTCTACATCAGTCGCTGGAGCGTCGGCCCGCGGTGGCGCATGATCCAGTGTTGTCTCGTCGCCAGCGGGCTCGGGCTCAGGAGGCCGTGGCGCAGCTGCTCTGGGGGCTGGTCTATCTTCCCCAGCCGCCCGGTCTAGCTGTTGACGAAGCTGGCGCGGCGCCAGTGGCCGTGCGCTCGCTGTAGAGGCAGAGACCGCCCTAGGGCTCGTAGCTGGCTCCGCGTCAGTACTCCACTTCATGCAGCAAGCGTTGCTGCGAGCCCTTGCACTGGAGTGAGCATCGGCGCTGCTGTGGTTGGGGTTGTAGGCATAGTGGTGTTGTGCTCACTATGTGTCTCTGCTCCTCCTTTAGATCGGCGCTGTCTAGTCGCCCATGCGTGTATGTTGTCCTTTCTATTTTGTGTATACACTGACTATCTGGAATGCCCCGACATGCGGCCAAAGGCCACGTGGCGGCCGCCGGTGCGAGTCGACCGCAAAAAGCCAGAGCACTTGAAGGCTTCTAATAAAAATAATGAGGAATGGAACTCGGAGAGGTGGTCGTATAGCTCTGGCCTCTCTCTCTCTCTCTCTCTCTCTCTCTCTCTCTCTCTCTCTCTCTCTCTCTCTCTCTCTCTCTCTCTCTCTCTCTCTCTCTCTCTCTCTCTCTCTATTCCTGTGTTTTGAAGTTTAGACAAGTTACTTCATCGTGGTACTTATACGACCAATGTGTTTGCAAACTTAATCTGAATAGTAAATGTTTTACATCTACCAATGTTTGTGTGCGTGAACATTCTACAAGGTTAATTTTTTCCATGGCTTCAACATGTCCATCTTTTCCGATGATCATCACCGGCGGAACGCTAGCCGGTGAGTTTGATATGGTGTATAGGCTCGAGTTGATACGCATTATTGGTGATGGAAATTGCCTATATCGAGCTTTGTCCAAATGGTTGCACAACATGCAAGAAGGTATGAGGAGCTCAAAGATTGGCTATTGAGACATATGGTTGCGAACAGGAGAAATCCTGAATTCGAGTACTGGCTCGTCGTAAGAAGCGCATTCGATAGACCGTATTTACCAGGTATGGATTATTACGCACACGCTTCTGAATCTGGAGAATGGGGATCTATCAATGAAGTGAAGGCGTTTTCGGTTGTTTTCAACGTGACGGCCATTGTTTGGGTGAGAAAAACCCATTTTTGGGCATTTTTGGAGCGGACGCTATTATAAGGTACGCAGATAAACATATCAATACGAACTCATTTGTATGCTTTAGTTACAAACACACAGGCACTCAAAAACTTGCCAACGATCAAGTTCTATACGTAAGTATAGGCTTGGTTTTCCTAGACTCCCGTTAACTTCAACGATGCTTTTACATCCCAACCCTGCTACCCTCTCTGAACAAGAGCGACAAAAATTGGCGAATGATGCAAAGCACGTTAAGGAGTGGCTCGATGGTGCATCATCCGGAACTAACATCACTTTCCCTGCTCGAACGAGAGATGGTCGCGTGGATGAGAGAAGCGGGCGGAGAGCTAGATCTGCACAACCCCCCAGTGTTGCGCGAATCGGCCCTGTTACGCCCTTTTGCCAACAATCGGAGGGCTCCTCGCGAGTCATTCTCTGGGCAAATATATCTTCGCCAGTATCGTAACCTTTTGCACGATTTTGCAAGCCCAACTCTAGGCACCACGCCCCCTGCAGTATTTGTTTGGTTTCCTGTCTATCCCTGTGCTCCAGGCGATCTCTCCTGTCTTGTACAAGCCCTAATGTGTCCTAGCCAGTCAGATGGACTCGAGGTGAGACAGTCTAGTGGGAAATGGTCTCTCATCCCAGAGATGGAAATGGTCTCAAATTGGGAACTTTTCGCTGTATAACTCTTACTCTTCATTTTTCCGATTTCGTCACTCTTTTCTCATCTCAGTCAATGTTTTATCGAGTCAAAATCAGCAGCGTCAAACTTTTTGTTCAGTTTGATTCCGCATTGCAAAATCTTTCAACACGTGTCCCAAAAAATGCGATGTCTCAAAACATCGAGAGATAAATACTTAACGTCCAAACTTTGAAGAGAAAACTTCATAGCTAGTAGAGGATTCTGCCCCGGTTCACAGCTCCGCGACGCGTTATTGACATACAGACATGTTGATTAGGGCAGCCTGAAACAAAATAACACCTGGAGTAGCCCGTATACATACGGACATGTCAATTAGGGTAGCCTAAAACAAAATAAAACCCGCAACGGCCCGATATTCGAGTTGGGGTGGCATCAACCCTAAAGACGCACAAAGGCGCAAGTTTAGGATTGATGCCACCTCGAGTCGCATCCGGGCTCCGATGGATTTGAGTTTTGTGGGCATCCCGAAAAACAAAACGTCAGAAATAGGGACAGAAGTCTAGTTTACACCTTGAAGAACGGCTTGATGGATTTCTGCAACGAAAATAATGTTATCCCATTGGGGATTTTTGTAATAACCAGTAAATTTGCACACCTTCAGTTGCGCAATTTGTGTGTGCTTCGTCTGCTCACTGTTTCTAGCCACAAGAAGACAACACTTGGCTAGTCAGTCTTCGCGAATATATTCTACTGCAAAATTTGAATGTGGGTGAAATTGAATGTTTTTTTCAGATAGAGTTTCTATTTGTTTGTCACTATAAATGTTCGCCCTATTCTCTGGGATTTCGCCATTTTTGGACACGTGTCGAAAGATTTTGCCATGCGGCATCAAACTGAACAAAAAGTTTGACGCTGCAGATTTTGACTCCATAAAACATTGAGTGGGAGGAGAAAAGAGTGACTGAATGGGGGAAACGAAAAGTAAGAGTTACCTAGCGTATAATTTCCCTCTCAAAATTAGGAAAGAGTCTTTCCTGGGCATTGCAAGTGTAACGGCTACAGCAATTGTAAGGAATTTGCCATTCCTTACCGAGCGGTACTACTATCGCGTACGCACGGGACTGTTCCAGACCTCCTGACAGAACCGCCTCGGCTTCTCCAGACCTGCTAGTTCGACCTTCGTGAGTTCTCCAGGCCTCGCTGCGTCACTTCGAGACCCTTCGATCTCCTTCCCGAACCTTACCATCGCATGGGTAGACTAGCTCTGGTGTTCCTGTATCTTGGCTTGCCATTCCTTGTATCGTCATTCAATTGAGTGAACACTTCATTATTCATTTCCGCGCTACTCTGCTTGTTCATTCATAACACCTGGTAATCAGAGCCACTTTCCTCGCTCACCCGTTTTCGTGCGTTGAATTTTTTTTGGGGGGGGGGTAAGTCCCTCACGTAAGCTGCGAAGCGGTTGCTCGCGAATTAGATTGATTAATTAGATTGATTAATTTGCCCAACTACGATAGCGTTTGCGCTTACCTGAGTACAGGCACATTACGGATTTCCCCCTGCCCCGGCGAAGCATTCGCCAAATGGACCAAGCTCAGTTCAACGAGCATCGGGAGCAGTTCAACGCCATGAACACACGCATGGCTACAGTGCTGGAGGACAACGAGCGACTTCGTGCGGAAGTTGCTGAGTTACGCCAGGCGCGAGAGGATTCGCGTCAGAAATCTACCGCCCAAGAGGAGGTCGCCAGCACCGGACGCGTCGAAACCGTTTTGGACGAAATCGCACGTCAGGTGTCACAGGAGTGCAAGGACAGTGAAGCCGCCGCACCTGCTGACGTGGCAGCACGAGCAGCAGCCAAAGCAGCAGCAGCAGCGACAGTAGCAGCCGCTCGGTCAGAAGCAGCCGCTACTGTAGCCGCACCGGCGTTTATGCTGATCGTGACGACAGCGACGATCAAACCAACAATGCCGCCCCCGTTCAACCCAACAGATAAGCATACTACAGTTACGGGCTGGTTATTTTCGGCGGAACTTTATTTTAATGCCGCTGGGATCACTGCTGACGATTTAAAAATTCGACTGGCTGTATCACTACTGCGGGGACCTGCGCTAGATTGGTGGCGATATACTCTACAGGAGGGGGAGTTTTCGGCAGGCGACACACAGGGGGTTTTCGGAAACTTTGGGCCTGCTGCCCAAGGGTCAACCGCGATTTTTGGATTGACCAAGATTCGCACGTGGAAGGCGTGGGGTACAGCTCTGCGTGAACGGTTCGAGCCAATATCCGCCTCGGACAACGCACGCACGAAGCTGGACAACTGGCGCCAGTGGAGTTCTGTCCAGGATTACGCGTCGGTCTTCATGGCGTTATGCGATCAAATCACCGACATGCATGACTCCGAGAAGAAAGCTCGATTCATTTCGGGTTTGAAGCAGGACATCAAATGCGAGGTCCGACTGCGACTGCCGGCGACGTTTCACGAAGCAGTCCGGATCGCAGATACTTTCGACGCACATCGGACGTATGCGAGAGCGGGTTCCCGGGAGGGAAATCGTTTTCGTGGCCAGAATCCACGGCCCACGATTCACGGCGTAGTGGCGAAGGAGCACATGGAAGATTTCCGCAAGGGACAATGTTTCAACTGCCACCGGCCGGGTCACCAGTCTCACGATTGCCCCCGAAAGAAGCAGATAAAGAAGAACGATGACGGCGGGTCGGGAAACGCCAAGCGTCAGTAGCGGTCAGGCCCCCTACTGACCCTGCCTCATCGCCCGAAAAACAGCATCCCCACCAAGTAGTGGTTCCGATACACGCTATCACCCGCTCCCGGCTGAAAAAGGAGGATGACTCAGTGGACCACCCAGTGCTGGCGGAAGGACGATTTCATGGAAGAAAAATAAAAATATTCATCGACGGAGGTGCGAGTCCTAGCCTGATAAATCGCGAAACGGCACGACGACTACACCTGGCGCTGGAAAGGTGTCTACCCGAAATCGACGCACGATTGGTGGACGGCACCCCACTGGCGATACGCGACAGAGTTCCCGTCGTTCGAATGAAGTGTGGCGAAGATTTTGGTTTCAGCGCGCCAATGCTGGCGACAACGCTCGATGGCTACGACGTGCTTTTGGGACGCGATTGGCTACGACGATTCAACCCGCAGATTGATTGGACGACAGGCGAGTGCACAGTGAAGTGCGACAAAGGCTGGCGAAAACTACCTACGTGGCCGGAAGCAGAGACAACGTCGACACGAGTCAACGCGGTGTGCCTCAACCGAGCTGTCAAGAATGGAGCGGATTTGTACGCCGTCCATCTAACCGAATTGACAGAGCAGAACGAGGCGACCGACATCAACAAACTCTGCGCCTCGGTCCCAGATGACTTGGCGAAACTCATTCGGGAATATCCCGAAATGTTCCCGGACGATTTGCCAAGTGGCCTGCCACCCAAACGCCCTTAGGACCACAAAATCGAGCTGGAGCCCGGCGCGCAACCTAGTGTACGCACGCAATGGCGCCTGACTCAGCCGGAACTACAGGAATTACGAAATCAGCTCGACTACCTGCTGGCGAAAGGGTTCATTCGGCCGAGCACGTCACCGTTCGCAGCACCGATCCTGTTCACGCCAAAAAAGGACGGTGGACTTCGCATGTGTACGGACTATCGTGCCCTTAATCGGGTAACGATAAAGTCGCGCTACCCAATACCACGCATGGACGAACTGATCGACAACCTTTGCGGAGCTCGCTATTTTTCAAAAATAGACCTTCGCGGCGGTTACCATCAAATTCGGGTGTTCGCTGACGACTGCCACAAGACCGCGTTTCGTACTCGCTACGGGAGTTACGAATACACGGTGATGCTGTTTGGATTAACGAACGCCCCCTTGACCTTTCAACTCACCATGAATGGGGTATTCCGCGATCTATTCGACAAATGCGTGATAATTTACCCGGACGACATCCTAATCTACAGCAAGACCCGGGAACAACATTTGCAGGCGTTGGAAGCAATTTTTCAGCGGTTGCAGCAACATCGACTCATCACCAAGGGCTCCAAGTGCGAGTTTTTAAAACAAGAACTGGAGTTCCTAGGGCACGTGATCTCCACGGAGGGGATTCGAATAGACCCGAAAAAACTCAGGGCTATTCAGGAGTGGAAACCGCCTGCAAATCAGCAGCAGCTGCAATCATTTTTGGGTTTCGTGAATTATGTGCGGCGGTTTATACCCCATATGGCGGGGTTAACTGGACCTCTAACCGACCTACTGCAGAAGGGAACATTTTACGAGTGGGGGGAGAAGCAGCAAGCTGCGTTTGAGGCATTAAAAACTCTTTTAATGTCACCACCGGTACTTTGCATCGCTGACCCGGAACGGCCCTTCGAAGTCATCACCGACGCAAGTGACATTGCCATCGGAGCAGTGCTGATGCAGGATTTCGGCAACGGGCTTCAACCAATCGCGTATGAGTCTCGGAAAATGCAATCTGCTGAGCGCAACTACCCAGTACACGACAAGGAAATATTGGCGATCGTCCATGCGTTCAAAATCTGGAGGTGTTACGTGACTGGAGCAGACGTGACGGTGCGAACCGATCACAAATCACTACAGTACCTGAGAGCGCAGCCGAACCTCAACCCGCGGCAGATACGCTGGCTGGACTATCTGGAGTCCAACTTCACGTACAAGATCACGTATAAAAAAGGCGGCAACAATATTGCCGACGCCCTGTCCAAACCATCTGCCCAAATCGCCGCAGTACTAGTCGCCCAGAGCAACCCGCTACTAAGTGGACTATTTACCAACGAGTATTCGACTGACGGGTATTCCACGGGTATTTGACAAAACTTTGAAGGCGTTGCAGCGGTTTTATTACTGGCCAGATATGGTGACGGACGTGCAGCGTTACGTGGCCGCGTGTCCGATCTGCCAGCGGATGAAATCCTCACACCAGCGACCTACAGGACTGTTACAGCCCCTCGAGCCACCTCAACGACCATGGCAACACGTAACGATGGATTTCGTTACGGGACTACCGGCCGGACCCAGCGGAAACAACGCAGTGTTAGTTGTCGTCGACCGATTGACGAAAATGGCGCACTTCGCTCCATGTCGTACAACCATCACAGCCGAAGAAACAGCGCGCCTGTTCATCTCGACCGTTGTTCGTCTACACGGGATACCAGCAGCAATCATTAGCGATCGAGATCCGAAGTTCACGTCAAAATTCTGGCAGGACACGTGGGCTCGATACGGCACGCGTCTACAGTTCTCATCCGCGTATCATCCCCAAACGGATGGCCAGACGGAAAGGACAAATCAAACGATGGAGCAGCTCATTCGGACAAACTGCCTCGACCGGAACAAATGGGAGGAAGCGTTGCCCATGTTGGAATTTTCCTACAACAACGCGCCCTCGGCTACGACTAATCACTCCCCGTTTTATCTCAATTACGGGATGGACCCTACAGTGCCGATCTCCACCAACATTGAGAGTCAAGTACCACGATCGCAGCAGTTCGTCGTAGAATTACAGACTGCCCGAGACAAAGCTGTCGAACTTATTCGCAAGGCAAACGCAACTGCCCGACGGTATGCGGATTTACATCGACGGGATATTACAATGGCAGCAGGGCAACTAGTCCTTTTGGACACCAAGAATTTACGACTGCCACTACCGACGAAATTACGACCACTTTTCTGTGGCCCATTGAAGATCGTGAAAATGGTGACGCCGGTGACCGCCCAGTTACGTCTGCCTGATGACTGGCGAATTCACAACAAATTCCACGTGAGTCTGTTGCGACCCTTTGTTCCTGACACGTCGGACATCGCTCGCCAGCGATTGGTCCCAGATGTACGGCCACCAGTTGAGACGACCATCGAGCCTTCGAAGATCTTGAGCCATCGGATTCGTATCGATGGTCAAGGACGCCGCGTTGACTTTCTTATACGATGGACCAATCGTACCAGTGAGGACGATACGTGGGTGCCCTCGGACCAGGTACAGTCACCTTCGATACTTGCGAATGATTTGGACCGCAAGCTCGTGGCTGATATAGATCACCTTCGCTAAGGGGGGGGGGGTGGTGTAAGGAATTTGCCATTCCTTACCGAGCGGTACTGCTATCGCGTACGCTCGAACACACCCGAAGCCTCGGGATTGTTCCAGACCTCCTGACAGAACCGCCTCGGCTTCTCCAGACCTGCTAGTTCGACCTTCGGGAGTTCTCCAGGCCTCGCTGCGTCACTTCGAGACCCTTCGATCTCCTTCCCGAACCTTACCATCGCATGGTTAGACTAGCTCTGGTGTTCCTATATCTTGGCTTGCCAAGATATTGTATCGTCATTGAATTGAGTGAACACTTCATTATTCATTTCCGCGCTACTCTGCTTGTTCATTCATAATAGCAATGGTAGGTTTTTCTGGTAGTGTACGGATTCTGCTACTCCCCGAGTCCCGACTGCGCGAGCCGTTGTTGTAAGGAATTTTCCATTCTTTACCGAGCGGTACTGCTATCGCGTACGCTCGAACACACCCGAAGCCTCGGGACTGTTCCAGACCTCCTGACAGAACCGCCTCGGCTTCTCCAGACCTGCTAGTTCGACCTTCGTGAGTTCTCCAGGCCTCGCTGCGTCACTTCGAGACCCTTCGATCTCCTTCCCGAACCTTCCCATCGCATGGTTAGACTAGCTCTGGTGTTCCCATATCTTGGCTTGCCATTCCTTGTATCGTCATTCATTGAGTGAACACTTCGTTATTCATTTCCGCGCTACTCTGCTTGTTCATTCATAACACCTGGTAATCAGAGCCACTTTCCTCGCTCACCCGTTTTCGTGAGTCGATTTTTTTTGGGGGGGGGTAAGTCCCTCACGTAAGCTGCAAAGCGGTTGCTCGCAAATTAGATTGATTAATTTGCCCAACTACGATAGCGTTTGCGCTTACCTGAGTACAGGCACACGACGGAATTCCCCCTGGCCCGGCGAAGCATTCGCCAAATGGACCAAGCTCAGTTCAACGAGCATCGGGAGCAGTTCAACGCCATGAACACACGCATGGCTACAGTGATGGAGGACAACGAGCGACTTCGTGAGGAAGTTGCTGAGTTACGCCAGGCGCGAGAGGATTCGCGTCAGAAATCTACCGCCCAAGAGGAGGTCGCCAGCACCGGACGTGTCGAAACCGTTCGGACGAAATCGCACGTCAGGTGTCACAGGAGTGCAAGGGCAGTGAAGCCGCCGCAGCAGCTGACGTGGCAGCACGAGCAGCAGCCGAAGCAGCAGCAGCAGCAGCAGCAGCAGCCGCTCGGTCAGAAGCAGCCGCTACTGTAGCCGCACCGGCGTTTATGCTGATCGTGACGACAGCGACGATCAAACCGACAATGCCGCCCCGTTCAACCCCACAGATAAGAATACCACAGTTACAGGCTGGTTATTTTCGGCGGAACTTTATTTTAATGCCGCTGGGATCACTGCTGACGATTTAAAAATTTGACTGGCTGTATCACTACTGCGGGGACCTGCGCTAGATTGGTGGCGATATACTCTACAGGAGGGGGAGTTTTCGGCAGGCGACACACAGGGGGTTTTCGGAAACTTTGGGCCTGCTGCCCAAGGGTCAACCGCGATTTTTGGATCGACCAAGATTCGCACGTGGAAGGCGTGGGGTACAGCTCTGCGCGAACGTTTTGAGCCAATATCCGCCTTGGACAACTCGCGCACGAAGCTGGACAACTGGCGCCAGTGGAGTTCTGTCCAGGATTACGCGTCGGTCTTCATGGCGTTATGCGATCAAATCACCGACATGCATGACTCCGAGAAGAAAGCTCGATTCATTTCGGGTTTGAAGCAGGACATCATATGCGAGGTCCGACTGCGACTGCCGGCGACGTTTCACGAAGCAGTCCGGATCGCAGATACTTTCGACGCACATCGGACGTATGCGAGAGCAGGTTCCCGGGAGGGAAATCGTTTTCGTGGCCAGAATCCACGGCCCACGATTCACGGCGTAGTGGCGAAGGAGCACCTGGACGATTTTCGCAAGGGACAATGTTTCAACTGCCACCAGCCGGGTCACCAGTCTCACGATTGCCCCCGAAAGAAGCAGATAAAGAAGAACGACGAGGACAGGTCGGGAAACGCCAAGCGTCAGTAGCGGTCGGGCCCCCTACTGACCCTGCCTCATCGCCCGAAAAACATCATCCCCACCGAGTAGTGGTTCCGATACATGCTATCAACCGCTCCCGGCTGAAAAAGGAGGATGACCCAGTGGACCACCCTGTGCTGGCGGAAGGACGACTTCATGGCAAAAAAATAAAAATATTCATCGACGGAGGTGCGAGTCACAGCCTGATAAATCGAGAGACAGCACGACGACTACACCTGACGCTGGAGAGGTGTCTACCCGAAATCGGCGCACGATTGGTGGACGGCACCCCACTGGCGATACACGACAGAGTTCCCGTCGTTCGAATGAAGTGTGGCGACGATTTTGGTTTCAGCGCGCCGATGCTGGCGACAACACTCGACGGCTACGACGTGCTATTGGGACGTGATTGGCCGCGAAGATTCAACCCGCAGATCGATTGGACGACAGGCGAGTGTACAGTGAAGTGCGACAAAGGCTGGCGAAAATTACCCACGTGGCTGGAAGCAGAGACAACGTCGACACGAGTCAACGCGGTGTGCCTCAACCGAGCGGTCAAGAATGGAGCGGATTTGTACGCCGTCCATCTAACCAAATCGACGGAGCAGAACGAGGCGACCGACATCAACAAAGTCTGCGATTCGGTCCCGGACGACTTGCCAAGTGGACTGCCACCCGAACGACCCCAGGACCACAAAATTGAGCTGGAGCCCGGCGCGCAGCCTACTGTACGAACACAATGGTGCCTGACTCAACTGGAGCTACAGGAGTTACCGAACCAGTTGGACTACCTGCTGGCGAAAGGGTTCATTCGGCCGAGCACGTCCCCGTTCGCAGCACCGATCCTGTTCACACCAAAAAAGGACGGCGGACTTCGCATGTGTACAGATTATCGCGCCCTTAATCGGGTAACGATAAAGTCGCGCTACCCAATCCCACGAATGGACGAACTCGACAACCTTCGCGGAGCTCGCTACTTTTCGAAGATCGACCTCCGTGGCGGTTACCACCAAATTCGAGTGTTCGCTGACGAATGCCACAAGACCGCGTTTCGTACTCGCTATGGGAGTTACGAATGCACGGTGATGCCGTTTGGATTAACGAACGCCCCCTCGACGTTCCAACTCACCATGAACGGGGTGTTCCGCGATCTACTCGACAAATGCGTAATAATTTACTTGGACGACATCCTGATTTACAGCAAGACCCGGGAGCAGCATTTAAAAGATTTGGAAGCGGTTTTTCAGCGGTTGCAGCAGCATCGACTCATCACCAAGGGCTCCAAGTGCGAGTTTTTAAAACAAGAACTGGAGTTCCTAGGGCACGTGATCTCCACGGAAGGGATTCGAATAGACCCGAAAAAACTCAGGGCTATTCAGGAGTGGAAACCGCCCACAAATTTGCAGCAGCTGCAATCATTTTTGGGTTTCGTGAATTACGTGAGGCGGTTTATACCCAACATGGCGGGGTTAACTGGACCTCTAACCGACCTACTGCAGAAGGGAACTTGTTATGAGTGGGGGGAGAAGCAGCAAGCTGCGTTCGAGGCATTAAAGAAACTTTTAATGTCGCCACCGGTACTTCGCATTGCTGACCCGGAACGGCCCTTCGAAGTCATCACCGACGCAAGTGACATCGCCATCGGAGCAGTGCTCATGCAGGATTTCGGCAATGGGCTTCAACCAATCGCGCACGAGTATCGGAAAATGCAATCTGCTGAGCGCAACTACCCGGTGCACGACAAGGAGATGCTGGCGATCGTCCACGCGTTCAAAATCTGGAGGTGTTACGTGACTGGAGCAGACGTGACAGTGCGAACCGATCACAAATCACTATAGTACCTGAGAGCGCAACCGAACCTCAACCCGCGGCAGATACGCTGGCTGGACTATCTGGAGTCCAACTTCACGTACAAGATCACGTATAAAAAAGGCGCCAACAATATTGCCGACGCCCTGTCCAAACCATCTGCCCAACTCGCCGCAGTACTAGTCGCCCAGAGCAACCCGCTACTGAGTGGACTATTTACCCACGGGTATTCGACTAACCCCTTCTTTGTAAACGACGGCCATCTCCCAGTCACTACACGAAAAGGCGTCTATTACTTACGAAGCGGGACTGATCGAATTTGGGTCCCAAGGTATCGTCTACTTCGCGAATTACTTATTCAAGAAGTCCACGATTCGAATTTATCAGGACATTTTGGGGTTGATAAAACTCTGAAGGCGTTGCAGCGGTTTTATTACTGGCCAGATATGGTGACGGACGTGCAGCGTTACGTGGCCGCGTGTCCGATCTGCCAGCGAATGAAATCCTCACACCAGCGACTTACAGGACTGTTGCAGCCCCTCGAGCCACCTCAACGCCCATGGCAACACGTAACGATGGATTTCGTTACGGGTTTACCGGCCGGACCCAGCGGAAACAACGCAGTGTTGGTTGTCGTCGACCGATTAACGAAAATGACGCACCTCGCCCTATGTCGTACAACCATCACAACCGAAGAAACAGCGCGCCTGTTCATCTCGACCGTCGTTCGCCTACACGGGATACCAGCAGCAATCATTAGCGATCGAGATCCGAAGTTCACGTCAAAATTCTGGCAGGACACGTGGGCTCAGTACGGCACGCATCTACAATTCTCATCCGCTTATCATCCTCAAACGGACGGCCAGACGGAACGGACGAATCAAACGATGGAGCAGCTGATTCGGACAAACTGCCTCGACCGGAACAAATGGGAGGACGTGCTGCCCATGTTGGAATTTTCCTACAACAACGCGCCCTCAGCTACGACTAATCACTCCCCGTTTTATCTTAATTACGGGATGGACCCTACAGTGCCGATCTCCACCAATGTTGAGAGTCAAGTACCACGATCGCAGCAGTTCGTCGAGGACTTACAGACTGCCCGAGACAAAGCTGTCGAACATATCCGCAAGGCGAACGCAACTGCCCGACGGTATGCGGATTTACATCGACGAGATATTACAATGGCGAGACAAGGGTCTAAAGACCAGTCAAAAGGAGTACAGGCAAGACAAGAACAAGACCAGGGCGGCACTATTAGTCCAGCCACTGGGAGAGGACACAAGTCCAGTCTGAGTACATATATAGATATATATAGGACAGTACAAAGTCAAGGTCCTAGCAAGTGAGAGGCTACAGGAACTAGACCGAGCTGTACACAATGCCGCTGATGATCTTTAGACGCAAGCGCCTTCGTAAAGATATCAGCTGTGTTGGCACCAGAGGCCAACTGAACTACGCGGGCCTGGCGGCGCTGCTGTAGCTCGCGCAGGAGGAAGAACCGCACCTGGATGTGCTTCGCTCTGCCCTCAAGTCGAGGCTCCTGATACAGGAGTATCATGGCCCTGTTGTCAGCGTATAGGACCGGGGCAGAGCTAGGCCGCTCACCTAAGTCTGTGAGCAAGAACGTCAGCCAGCGGAGCTCCTGTGCCGCCATGGCACCAGCGTAGATCTCAGCCTCACAGCTCGACTGAGCAACAGACGACGAGCGAGTGGATCTCCAAGAGATAGCGCCCGAACCAAGGCTAAAACAGAAGCCCTGCGACGACCTGAGCGTCTCAGAGTCGTCTACCCAAGAAGCGTCTGTGTGCCCAGTAAGGACCACTGGCCTGCGTCCTCCTAACACTAACCCCATGCCTGATGTACTTGCTAGATATCGCAAAACCCTCTTAGCGACCGACCAGTGCTGTGGTCGGTGTCTGCCAGTGGCCACAAAGCTAGCCAGGATGCTGAGAGGGTATGCGAGATCTGGGCGAGTGCAAGTCATCAGGTACATGACGCAACCCACCAGCTCTGCGTAGGGGCCGCTGGGCTCTACTGGCTCCTCAGGAACAGGAGCGGAAAGCCCGTGGCCTACAGGTAGAGGTGTGGGCTGTGAAGAGGAGAACTGAAGACCGAACCTCTGAAGGACCTGACGCACCAAGTGTGACTGTGTCAGAGTGATGGTGCGTACTGCTCTGTCCCTAGAGATCTGCAAGCCAAGGTAGCGACGCATCTCTCCAAGGTTAGTGCAGGTGTGTCTCTTCAGCAGCTCTGCCTTCACGGAGGCCAGTGCGTCCCTGTCAGCAGTAGCAAAGACCAGGTCGTCCACGTAGACAAGGATGTAGAACGGAGTCTGGCCGGAACGCACAAACAGCGAAGGGTCAGCGGACGACGGAAAGAACTGCAGGTCTGCTAACGTGGCCCGCAGCGTGTCGTGCCACTCGCGCGGAGCCTGACGCAGGCCGTAGACCGGGCGCCTGAGAAGCCACTGGGTCCTAGGGGGGAAGGTACCAGTGAAACCCTGCGGTCGGCGCAGGTAGACCTGCTCGTGTAGGCTGCCCTAAAGGAAAGCAGTAGAGAAGTCGAGGGAGTGAAGCTCGTAGTCGCGCTGTGCTGCTACGTGTAGCAGCGCCCAAAGAGTGGTCATCTTCGGGGTCGGGGCGAAGGTCTGGAAGAAGCCCACCCCCTCGCGCTGACTGAAGCCTCTGGCCACGTAGCTCGCCTTGAAGACAGGCGGCTCTCCAGGCGGGCGCTTCACCTTGAACAGCCACCGACCATCGACTACGTTCACCCCAGGTGGGGGAACTGCGTCGACGTAGGTGCCGGTGGACCTCCAAGATGCCATCTCCTGCTCCATGGCAGCTATCCACTGAGAGACCCAAGGTCCCGAGGTGGCCTCAGCGTAGGTGCGAGGGGTCGGGATGTCGAAGGCGCCGGGGTCACCCTCAGGGACTAACAGCATGGAGCAGAGATGGGGAGCAGCCTTGGAAAGGAAAGCAAGCTCGTACTGCCTGTCCTCTAGGACGTCACTGCCAAGGGCAGGAGCACCTCCGACGAACGGAGGACGGGCAGGGTCAGCGACCAGAGCGGTAGCGTAGTCAAGGCGGCGGGTGGAGGGGAAGTCAGCGACAGCAGCGACAAGCGCGTCAAGGCGCGAGACAGGAACAGAAGGGTCGGTAACAAGGGAGGCAAGAACCCGAGGGACAAGAGGACGAGCGGCACGGAGGTAGTCCGAGAACGGAGGGGGCGCAACAGCAAGCGACGAGGGAGGAGGGGAGGACGAGACGAGTGGGAATAGAGAAACATAGGGTGAGAGCGCAGGACAGGAGAGGCAGGACGGGCACGTGAGGGAGGACAAGGCGGGAGGGGAGCAGGGGCTACCGGGAGAGAGGGAGCAAGGAACAGGGGCGGGGCAACCGGGAGACTTTTGTGAGGGAAGCGGCGGTAGAAGGAGACAGACTCATCAAAGGTGACGTCACGAGAGTGGAGAAAGCGGTGAGATGGCGGGTGGTAGAAAAGCCAGTCAGACGAGTCTAGGGGGAAACCGAGGAAGACACAGGGGACAGTGCGGGCAGTGAGCTTGTTCGTACTAGAGGCACGAACGTGAGCAAGGCAGCCCCAGACGTGGAACGCAGACGCGTCACCAGGGGACCCGGTCCAAAGGAGGGTCGGCGAAACCTGCGGCTGCTGGGAGCGGGGCCACAGGTTAAGCTGGTGAGCAGCGTAGCGAACAGCGAACGGCCACAGAAAATGGGGAGCACCGGCACGAATCATGGAGGTACGAGCGACCTCCATGATCAAGCCGATGCGGCGCTCAGCAACCCCATTCTGCTGTGGCGAGTCCGGCAAGGTGTAAGACTGGGTGATGCCCTTCGCACGACAGAACTGTCCAAGCCGACCTTAGGCGAACTCGCCGCCACGGTCAGAGTGGAGACACAACACGGGGAGATCGCGGTGAAGACGCGCAGCCACAACCCACGGGAGAAGAACGTCGGGCACGTCGGCCTTCCGCTCCAGGGGAAACACCGTGGTGTAGCGCGTGTAGTCGTCGACGAGCACAAGGAAGTAGCACTCACCGCGCGGTCCGGGGACGGGGGCAGGGCCCCAAACGTCCAGGTGCAGGGTCTGAAGGTGGGCAGTAGCCGGGCGCAGCGAGGAGGAGTGTGGGGCACGGCGGAGCCGGCCCTCGATGCAAGGCGTGCACGGTGGCGCAGACGAGGGAGGAAGGGCGGGGAGCGACGCAGGGAGACCTAGGACAAGGCCGTGCTGGGACATGTGACGCAGACAAGGGAGGGCAGGGTGACCTAAGCGGTGGTGCCAGAGAAGGGACGGGTGAGTGAGGGAACGACACGAGCAAGCTGAAGCAACCTAGGAGGACGCACCAACCGGAGGGGAAGCGGTGTCTAGGGTAAACAGACCGGACACCGGGTCCCGGGGGAACGTCGCAAGGGGGGAACCTGAGACAGCCTCAGAACAGACTGCGAACCGCTCGTGCCCGGGGAACATGGTAGTGACGCCGAGGTCCTGGAGACAGCCGACACCAACCAGGTTCCTCGAGAATGAGGGAACGTGGAGGCCTGTAAGGGAGCCCGAGGGAACTGCTGGACATGGAAGGGACGTAGAACTGCGAGCGACGACAGGACCCGCAGAGGGGTCAGCAAGAGAGACGACAACAGGCGTAGCAAGCGGCGTGAGCGCGGAACGGTCGCGGAAGAAGCAGGCAGAAGCACCGGAGTCGAGAGTGAAGGACATCGCAGTAGTGGCGGGGGCAGGGAACGGAGCCGGTGCACAGACGAGGCTAGACAAACTAGGCAGTCCTACGCCTGACGCAGCAGGGGAGGCTAGGCTACACAACGGTGCAACACCTAAACTAGAAAACACTGGGTAATAAGATCCAGCAACACTAGCAGCGTCAGAATACAAGGCATGCAAAGCAACACCTATCTGATCAATGTCTAACTCAAAGATCGGTACGCCCTGGCGGAGCAGGCTGTGCCAGTAAGGGAGGTCCGGGGCCGGGCCAAAACGATGACGAAACAGATCGTCGAGGCGGCGGAAACAGCGGGCAGTCAGGTGCGGGCGGCGGCACAGAGTGCCGCAAAGGGGCCCGGTCTGAAGCTGGTACTGACATGTCACAGCACCGGAGCCGCTGGTAGACGCCAAGCTGCGCGGGCCGCCACCACTGCCACCACCGCCGGAGGTGCCGGGCCAACCACGTGGGAGGCGAGCCCACTGCGGCGGGAGCTGCGGCTGGGACGGCGGCAGCTGCTGGGACGGCGACTGCGGCGCGGGCTGCTCCTGGTGGGGCTGGGGCTGCTGCTCCTGACCACCAATGCTAGTCCCCCCTGACGGACTACGCTCATGACCACCACCACCACCACCTGCGCCACCACCCCTACCACCCTGGCGACCACGGGCACCGCGGCGCGAGCGCTGCTACGGGTGGACCGCTGCAGCCGTCTCAGTGAGGGGGGTCGCCGTGGGGACTGCAGCCGAAACGTCAGTGAACGTGCACTGGGAGGGGGCACAGCCGTGAAAGATAGAGACTGCTGGCGCACCGCTCGACTGAGCGATAGTGCGCTGGCGAGTCTCGATCTCGGTGCGGGTGTCGACAAAGGCAGTGAGGGTGAGGTCAGCCGGGTCCAGGCTAAGGAAGTGATCGCGAGCACAAGCAAGGCGGTCTGGCAGGCGCATGGCGATAAAATAGAGCGTCATGCAAAAAGGGGGGGGGAGCGCAGTGAGCTGGGCAGCAGTGCTGGCAGTGCGATAGCGGGTCTCTAGGGCACGAAGGTGAGCGGCAAAGTCTGTGATAGTAGGGAAGGCTGCAAGGTCTGGAACAGCATCGGGAAAAGCAAGCGGCCAGCAGAAGCAGATGCGGGTGTGGAATAGCGGGCAATAACGGCGTCTAAGTAAGCTTTGGCCGTATCAACAGTAGCAAAGCGCGAGCGCTCAGAGACAGGGAGGGCGTGGCTAATAGCAACCTGAGCGACTGCATCGCGGGAGTCCCAGACAGCGCAGGCAAGAGCAGCAGTAGAGAAGGCCTCACGGTCATCAGAGGAGGGGTCAAAAGGGAGGGGAGCAGGCGCAGGGGGGCGGGGGAGCAAACCGTCGACATGGACAACCAAAGAGTGGCCATCCTGGCGCTGAACTGTAAGGTGGCGGCGGAGGTCAGAGAGCTAGGCGGCGAAGTCAACCGCGCGACCCTCGGCGTCCAGT